AAATGAAAAAAAAAAAAAAAAAAAGAAATGCTACATCATTAAATGATATATTATTTCGACTCCAGCTTTGATAACCACCAGAGACTTTCTGTCTCTATAAATTTGACTGTTTTAGGGACCTCATTTGAGTGGAATTATACAGTATTTTTCTTTTGTAACTGCCTGAGTTCACAACATAATATTGCAACTGATGACATAATTTCCTTTCTTTTGAAGCCTGCATACTCTTCTAAGTATATACCACATTTTTTTTATCTATTCATTCACTGATGAACATGTGGACTGCTTCTACTTCTTGACTATTGTGAAAAATGCTACTATGAATGAGTGTATGAATTCTGGTTTCAATTTTTACTTTCAATTCTTTTGGCTATATATCCAGAAGAGGGATTGCAAGGTGATGGGGGCTTTTTTTTAGTTATGAAAATATTCTAAAATTTAATGGTAATAATTAATGGTTGTATACCCCTGTGAGTGTATCACTGAACTATAAACTTTAAATGGGTAAACTGTGTATGATATGTGAACTACCTCTCAACAGAGCATAGAAATATAATTCTTAAAGGCTGAACTAAGTATATAATTACTTCAAAGATTTTGACTAAACTAAATAATCTAGTTAAGTAAGAAGTCAATCTTGTCATTTGAGTAATTTTGATTCTTATTTTCAATAGCCTGACTACTTTAGGCACTTTTTGAGACATAATTTAAGTGCTTCCTCAGCAATGCACATTATAGAAAGGAAAAAGAAACTGTCAGTATATGACTTTAATTCATAATTTTAAACTCTTTTACATTTTGTATCAGGAATAGTATGAAAAAAATAACAAATCCACACCAACTCTCCCAATTTTTATTTCATTTATTCTAGGCATGTCACTGACCAGATTTTTTTAAAGATAGGGAAACAAGATAGGACCTAATTCACTTTGACTTCAGGTTCACTTTTTCAAGTGTCACCCACAATTATTTTACACAGAAGATATTCAAAAGATATAGGGTTTATCTGACTTTTTACAATAAAAAATTATACAATTAAAAAAACCCCTATGCCCAATGTCACTAAATGGGGAAGGAGTCAATAAATTTAAAAAAAAAAAAATCCAGGCAAGACAAAATTTTGAGAAGAAAATATGCATCAAATTCAGATTCTTCTCATCTTTAATTGTTATGCACAACTAGAAAAGCTAATGGCAATGTGGGAGGCTACTGGTGCTCAGAAACCTGTTTTATCACTTTCTGCTTTATCTAAACATTTTTAATAGTGCTAAGACTCAAAAACACAATTTTAGAAAGATGATAATAAAATTATCTCAAAGATTTCTCATGAGCTTGTGTGATCAGAGCAGAGCAAACTACAACAAACCTTACTTGTCTGATCAGTTCTAAAATAACAGACTCTGTATGATTCATAACAAAGAAGAGACAAGTTTGGGAGTCAACTTTCAATCTTGGTCTCAAGGCAGAATTCTAATTACAGAGATAATTACGTGGACTAGTTTTTCTTTCTAGCTAATACATATCATATACTTTAATAGCTTTTCCTAAATAATTTCTTGGGATTGATTTAAAAGTGAACACTGAAATACTACCAGTTGATTCAGCTGATTTCAGAATCTCCTTACGTGTTTTTCAAAATCCGTCTGTGTGCAGAAGCAAAATTATGAATGGCGTTTCGAAGAGTTGAATTTCCCTCAGAGACATCAGAGGAACTGATGACTGAATATAGTGCTCGATTATATGCTGCAAAATAAAGGTTTCCACAGTGATGAATAAAGTTAAGTTCTATCAGCCTCTCTTACCCTTTTCCACTAGTACTATTTCTCTACCCAGAGTCCCACAGGCATTAACTTTATCCATGGAATAATTGTTTACTGAGTACTTCAATAAATACTTCAACACAGAAAAGGGAATAGAGAGGATAAGCACACACACAAAAATAAACTGCAGTGTAATACTTTCCAACCAGAGGCATTTACAAAATGTCATCACAGAATGAAGTTGGAATAAATGAATAACTAGCTAGAGGGGACTGAAAAAGACTTCCAGAAACAGTACCTTTTAAGGTGGTCTTGAAGGTAACAAGTAAAGAAAAGGCAGATTATGATGTTCAAAATAGCAAGTTTATTAGAAATAGCAAGTAGAGTGTGGCCTGTGGGTAGACAGAAAATATGCCATGTATTTTACACTGTCACAGGACAGTACAAAATTCTTAGAGATTTTAGAATAGGAGAATAAATGATCATATATGTGTTTTTAAAAATATAACACATAGCCCTGATAAGAAAATCATTACACAGATGAGGTGCCCTAGGAATACAAATACTATACTGGCAGAATTTTCAGTGCGTAACGGAGTCCTGCATAATCTTTACACTATTCAAATCAATGTATTTAAGGGTGGACAGGAAAAAGAAACATTAGTGACAACAGGAAGGACTTCATTTTATCTGAGTGGGACTCCTGATGGAGGGCCACGTTTTCCTCAGTATGCCCTGGTAGAAATGGCAGCCTAATACGGAGATATATGTAGTAAGTCTGTATTAGATACCTATCATTAAGTATGTGTACTGCAGAGAATTCAAATGGACAGACTCCTAACTTACATAACCATAAAAGGCAAACTCTATGCCTTCAGTTAAAGGAGAACCTTAGAGTGGAGTAAAGGGAAAGTATTTTCTCACCGTAAGTGAAGACAAAAGGTAGCAGAGTAGATCTCAAAAAGACATAAAATTCACTATAATTATTTTCATCATCTCAGAGTTATTTGGTAATGGTGTTGGGTTTTCTTTCATTTATACCTTTACCAAACAACTCAACAAATGGCAGATTACCATTATCGCTATTTGTATTTGTGTTGCTTTTTAAAAAAATTGCTATTAGGCCCCAACTATTCCTTCAAGAAACTTACCTCTATGGTTTTTATAGAAAATACAATTGTTGGCGCAGGTATCAGGATGAGCATCCCAAAAATCAGGACCACAAAAGCACAGTGGAGGTAAAGTGATATTATACAGCTTCATTTTCTCCTGGACTTGGGCACGTAAGGCTTCTATATATCTATAAAATACAGTAATGATGAGGCAAAGTGAACTTCTAGGAAAACAGTACACGTGAATCCTGATTTAACAACTTGCTTTGACTATAAAAGCTATTTCACATCTCTGGACCTTGATCTCTCCTCTGTACATTGAGAAACAGCACTAGGAAAAATGCCATGCTATTTCAAGATACTTGGTGATGTTATATACCCTTAAATGAGGAAAAGTATAAGACGACAGTCAATTCTCTTTTAAGGGAAATGAAAATACCAACTTCCTACTAAATCTCCTCTAGAGCCAGAATTTCATACAGAATTTTCTGAGTTACCTTACATATTCTTTTTCTCTCTGTTGCTGCTTTTCTCTGGTACCTTTTATTTCTTCAAGTTGTAACTGGCCTAAACTGTCACTCATCTTCTGCTCTGAATATAGTGCTCCAGCAGAGCTCAGTCTTACGGTCTTCTGCTCGTCAACATAACATTGTTGCTCTTTCTTTTTCTTAATTCTGAGAATAAAATCATAACATGACCAGCAATTTCATAAAGTTGTTAGTAAAAATTAGCTTCTGGATTCAACTACAACAACAAATTCCCACAAATAAATGGGTCAGGAATTAGTTTAATATTCTGAGTACCATCAAAAGTTCCTGCTGGCTGATTTGAATTTATCCTATGTTCATCTAAATACACAGCCTCTCAAAAGGAAATGAGAATAAATTTTCTGTAAGTATCTTAGCACAAGAGTCAGGACTTTGGCTTCTGGCCAAAAATGGAGTACCAAGGACTGGATTTGCCCTCCCACCTTGAAGAACCAAAGAAATTTAAAAAGTAATAAAGTAAATTGGACAAAATACAAGGGACAATGGTTTTCAAGATAGTAGGTGTACACCAACAGAAAGTAATGGTTCCTGACAGATGGGAAACAAAGCCAGCCCTGGAACTGCCAGATATTACTGTCTTGAACGTTTCCAAGGCATGGCACAGGGCAGAACTCAAGTGGAGCCCATTGGACACTCTGAGTTAAGGAGGTGGAGCTGAGATAACGCAGAGAGAGAAGGACAAATAAGGGTACCACACATAATACCAAAAGGGAGAGAAGTGCTCAGAGAGAAAACCCCAGAAATGAACAGTTTCCTCCTAGTATACAGCAAAGTACTGACTGGTGCACAAATGCAGAGAAAGGACCTGAGTCCATGAAAACAACATCCAAAGTAATAAAAGAGAACACTATCAAGCATTTGTACAACACAGGAAATAGTGCCTGTTCCCACTAGTCAAGGACCAGAACCTATGAAACCGTAAGCCAAAATAAACCTTTTCTCTTTATAAGTTATTGTCTCAGATATGTGCCATAGTAATGGAAAGCTAACTAGTTCATCCAACAACCAACAAAGTAAAATTCATAATGCCTGACATCCAGTCAATGATTACTAGGCATACAAAGAGGAAGGAAAGTAACTCGAAGAGAATGGTCAACCAAAAGAACTGACTAGAACTGACACTGTTCTGTAGAATTAGGACAGAAGAACATTAAAAGAATTATTAAAACTATATATTCTACCAGGTAAGTGGTGGCACATGCCTATAATGCCAGAACTCTGAAAGGCTGAGGCAAGAGGACTCCAAGTTTGAGCCCAGCCAGGACACTTAGTGGACTTAGGGAGACCCTGTCTCAAACTAAAACATAAAGAGCTATGGCTATAGCTCGGTCCAAAAGCTGAGTTCAATCCCCAGTACTAGGGGAAAAAAGGATACTTAAATCAAATTTGTATAGATGAAAAGTATACTTTCTGAGATGAAAAATACACCGAAACATATTAGTGTGGTGAACCTACAGCACAAATGTTATTGTGTTTTTCTTTTAAGACAAAATATTTTAATGTATGAGTTGTTTTTTCTAAACTAAAACCTCAGTATTCAGGTCTAATTGCAGTGTTGTTACTTTGTGATAAATAAGTGGGTTTTGGGTTGTACTTGGGGCACTCAGTCTCTAAAAGGTTCACCATCACTGGTATTTACGATTACCAACAAATTACATGTTTTAGACACAAATGTGAAAATATATAGAAATTGTCTAAATGAACCACACGAAGAATAAAACCTAAAACCAGTAACACACACACACACACACACACACACACACATTCACTGGTTAAAAAAATGAGTAGAACACTTAAATAGGCACTTCACCAAAGACGATACACAAATTGGCCAACGTGCATATGAAAAGATGCTCAGCATCACTAATTACCAAGGGACTACAAATCAAAGCCACAATAAAATGACACCTCATACCTATGAAATATGAGTAACTGGAACCTTGATGGGATTATAAAGTGGTGAACCACTCTAGAAAACCCAATACGGAGGTGATTTTAAAAGTTAAAACAGAGCTACAAAATGATCCACAATTTAAATTTTGTGTACATATCCAAAAGAATTAAAAGGAAGGTTTCTTCACAAGAGATATTTGTATTTCTGTTTTACAGAAGCACTAATTCATGGTAGCTAAGAGGTGGAAGCAACTTAAATGTCCATTGACAGATGAATAGATAAAATAAAATGTGGTCTACAAATATAATAGGCTATTACTAGACTTAAAAAAAGGAGAAAATTCTGTCAAATCCAACAACATGCACGAATTTTAAAGATATTACACTGAGAAAAGCCAGTCACAAAAGACAATGTGTGATGCCATTTATATGCAGGTTCACGGGAGTAAAATTCATAGGAACAGAAAGTAGAATGTTGATTACTGGGAGCTGGGGTCAGAACAAAAGAAGAGTTGTTTAAGGGGGTCATATTTCACATGTGCAAAATCTAGAGATCTGTTTTACCACCACTTAAAACTGGCTAAGATGCTTAAATTTTACCTTTAATAAATCTTAAATTTAGTAGCTTTTAATAAAACTTATGTGACACAATTTTTTAAAGGCACATAACTAAATGAACAACTGAATTAAAAATGATAACATAAGTCAGATATACCAAAGCTGAATAATGTTCATCTCCAGTAGATCCACAATTACAAGAACTGTTAAAAGATATCCTTTCAGCAGAGAAAAATAATAGTATAGTTTTATATATTTATGATTTTTCTCAGTTGAATGTTTTTAAGTAACAATTGACTGCTTAAACCAAATATTTCATATTTTTTGTAAAATGCATGACATCACTACAAAGGACGATGGAAAAATGAAAATATAGTATTACAGATTCTTATACTACACATGAAATAATATGATATAATTTGAAAGTAGACTGAAAAAAATTATGGATATATATATACTATAAGCCCTAGAACACCCAATAAAGTAACAAAACAAAGAGAAGAAGGATGAATACTTCCCAGTTCATTCTGTGGGGCTAGTATTAACCTGAACCAAAACCTGATAAAGACAATAGACTAAGAAAGTGTAAATTAATCTTTCAAAACATAGATGAGGGGCTGGGATTTAGCTCAGCAGCACAGCTCCTGCCTGGCAAGTGCACCATTGTGAGTTCCATTCCTGGTACCGGAAGAAAAACAAAAAACAAAAAAAAACAAAACATAGATGAAAGCCAGGCATGGTGGCATACACCTGTAATTCCGGCTTAGGCAGAAGGATAGATGCAAGTTCGTGCCAAGCCTAGGCTACAAAGTGAGCTCAAGGCCAGCCTGAACTGCACAACGAGACCTAGTCTCAAAAAGACAAAAAAAAAAAAGATGAAAAAAAGACAACACAGTAGAGAGAATATACCTTTTTCAACATACAAAAATAAGAGTTGTACTACGTGTGAAAATTAAATCAAACTGGATCACAGACCTGAATGTAAAGCCTGAAGTGATAATACTTCTAGAAGAAAACACAGGAGAAAATCTCTGGAACCTTGAGTTAGGCAAAGATTTGTTAAATATGATTGGGTCAGCCTGGTGGCATATGCCTATAATCCTAGCACTCTAGAAGGCTGAGGCAAAAAAACTGCAAGTTCAAGCCCAGCCTGGGCAACTTAAAATAAAAAATAAAAATAGGCTAGAGACATAGCTCAATGTGAAGGGCCTGGATTCAATCCCTCATACCAAGAAAAACAAAAAAGATACAACAAAAGCACAATCTATAAAAGAACATATTGAAAAATAGAACTTCATCAAAATTTAAAACGCCAGCTTTTTAAAAGACATTAAAAAAGAAAATGTTAAGACTAAGAAATGAACCACAGACTAAGAGAAAAATCTCTGCAAAACACATATCTGATAAAGGATTTGTATCTCATAACCCAGCAATAAGACAAACCAATTTTGAAATCTGAGTTTCAACACACCACCACACATACAGACAGCAAATAAAGGTATGAAAAGATGCTCAACATAAAAAAAAAAAAAGATGCTCAACATCATTAGTCATTCAGGAAATGCAAATTCAGACCACCAACCACACATCTACTTATTCAAATGGTTAAAATGAAAAAGACATCACGACAAGTGTTAGTGAGAATGTAAAGACATCTGAACCCTCGGACAATGTGATAGCAGCACAAAAATGGTATGGCCTGGTGGCATATGCCTATAATATTCTATGTTCAAAAACGGTTTGACAGGTTCTTTTCTACAAAAAATGAAATAATATTTTTAAGGGGTGGTGAAACAAATCTCTATTATGTTATGTTCAAAATAAAATAACATTTTTAAGTGGTGGTGAAACAGATCTCATGTTCAGAAGCAGTGTGACAGGTTCTTTTAAACCTGAAATACACATCTATCAGCCATTCTACTCCCATGCATTGCTGGGAATGTAGCTCAGGGGCATAGTGCCCGCCTGAAAAGAGCAAGGCCCTGAGTTTGATTCTCAGTACCAAAAAAAAAAAAAAAAATTATATTCCCACATATTTACCCAAGGGAAAAGTTAATATAGGCCCATACAAAGATTTGTACATGAATTTCATGGGAGCCAAAAACTAGGAATAACCTACATGTACATTGATCTACATAGGAACAACCTACATGTACACTGATCTACAAATGGATAAACAAATTGTGGTACATCCATAAAATAGAATACAATTCAGGAACAAAAAGGAATAAATTCTTGATATATACAAGGACAATTCCCAAGATAATCCAACTTAGTAAAAGGTGCAGGGCACAAAAGAGTGCACACTTTATGATTCCATTTATAAATATATCTTGTTTTATCCTGCTTTGCTTTACTATGCTTCATAGTTACTGCATTTGTTTTTACAAATTAAAAGTTTGTAGCAACTCTTTGTCACTGAGTCTCTTAGTGCCATTTGTCCAATAGCATGTGCTTACCTTGTGTCTCTGTCACACTTTGGTCATTCTTACAGTATTTCAAGCTTTCTCATTACCCTATATATTACAGGATTAGTCATCTCCAACAATACTGCTGTTTAACCTGTATAAGACGGCAACATAACTGATAAATGCTGATTTGTGCTCTAGCTGTTCCACCAAAAGGGTATACCTGCCTCTCTTCCTCTCCTCAAGCCTCTCTATCCCTTGAAACGT